TTGTCAGTCAAATTACACAGGCTATTCCCGGCTGCAGGAAGACACTTTTTGGTGTTTTTCCAAAATTTACTTTATCCATTTTGTTTTACATAGAAAAGCTTTGTCCTTACAAGAAAGAAAAAAAAAAGTGTACAAAAAAGATATTATTAAACACTGAGGTTAAAAGATCAAGAAGTTTATCTGGACTCCAGCAACTGTAACACATTCATATTGCACACCTGTATTTTAGTAGAAAATGTTATTATCACTTGTTACAAATCCAGTTACTCATCACTACTGAAACCATGAAAAATCCTAAGTTGTTAAGATGTGTTGCATGTAAAACAGTTTGGCTACACATCACCCATTTGTTTCAGCATCTTCCGAAGGACGCAGATATTTGCCCATCTGGCATTCGCCGCAGTCTGAAGCAACTATTAACACTCTGATATAGTCAGAGTTATATTAGGTGACTTCCAGACCAGAGGGACCTGGACAAGCAAGTGGGCCTGTGTGAACCTCATGAGGATCAACAAGGCCAAGTGCAAGGTCTGCCCCTGGGCTGCCCTGGACTGTAAGTTCACCGCCTGGAAATTCCTTTCCTTTAAGCTGTTCATCTCTCAGAAGAGCACTGCATTTATGTTCATCGCCTCTTCTTTTTTTTTCCTGAAAGAAAAACAGTGAGTGGATGGGGTAAGTGACCTAATGCACAAGTTTTCTAGGGCTTCAGATGTGTGACTTGGGAACTTTACAGCCCAGCTAAGGCGCTTCAGCCTAGTAAATGTCAAGGGAGGTGATTCTCCTCCTATACTCTGCTCTGGTGAGACCCCACCTGGAGTACTGCGTCCAGCTCTGGAGCCCTCGGCATAAGAAAGACACGGACCTGTTGGAGCAGGTCCAGAAGAGGGTCACGAAAATGATCAGGGGGATGGAACACCTCTCCTATGAAGAAAGGCTGAGAGAGTTGGGGTGGTTCAGCCTGGAGAAGAGAAGGCTTTGGGGAGACCTTATTGCAGCCTATCAGTACCTAAAGGGGGCTTATAGGAAAGATGGGGACAGACTTTTTACCGGGTGACAGTAGTGACAGGACAAGGGGCGATGGTTTTAAACTGAAAGAGGGCAGACTTAGGTTGGACATAAGGGTGGTGAGACACTGGAACAGATTTTAAACTGAAAGAGAGTAAATTGGGCACAAGGGAGAAATATTTTACGATGAGGGTGGTGAGCCCCTGGACCAGGTTGCCCAGAGGAGTTGTGGATGCCCCGTCATTGGCAGTGTTCAAGGCCAAGTTGGACGGGGCTTTGAGCAACCCTACCTGCTGCAAGATGTCCCTGCCCATGGCAGGGGAGTTGGATGCTCTTTGAAGACCCCTTCCAACCCAAACCACCCTATAAATTATCTTTTTGAGTATTTGATTCCTAATTAAACAGGCACGTTTAATTAACAATCAAATCGCATATTTAATTACGTTATTAATTAAGATTTTGTATACTTAATTACCTCTGTTCCTAACCACCTGCTTTCCAAGGTAGCCGTATAACTGCCACCTTAACGGAATTTGCC